AAAAACAGCAAATATAGGAGGAGAATCCTGGTTGAGCATGAACACAATGTAGCACTTTATGGCAAAAAAAAAGCAAAACATACCTGGACTTGTCACTGAACGTCTCTTCAGAAATCCGCCAGCACCACTGAGGCTCATCAGAGTAAATTCCTGTCTTAACTATTTTCAGGTAACCTATGCCCCTCACTTCCCATTATCTCCTCCTCCATGAGACTGATAAGAGCTGTGTTCGTATTGTGACAGTTACTAGACTACCTTTGTAAGGCAAAATTCATCCACTAAAACCAAGTAAATGTTCATAGAATAGAATAGAAACCCTTTTTATTGTCATATACATATACACAAACACGAAATTTGACTTCTGCATTTGACCCATCCCTGTATATAGGGAGCAGTGGGCTGCCAATGACAGGCACCCGGGGAGCCGGGGGTTCAGTGTCTTGCTCAGGGACACGTGACACGTCCCAGTCGAGGATCGAACCGTTGACCCTGCGGTTACCAGACAACCCTCTTATTTATTGACTGCTCTTAGTCAAATCATTGTATCTTCAAAAACAAACAGTATCATTTTAAAAATGTGTTATTTACTAATTAAACATCCCTTGGTGTAAGCATGTTTAATTATAATACTGATAGTAAAAACAAGTTAAATGACTGTAAGGCTATTAGTTATTGGCAGGTGCTGTCTCAAAACATACAAAATACAATAAAAATGTCATAAAATTTACAATCAAAATAACCACGGTAGTTACAGTTCTAGGAAAAGGAATTAGCAAATTAGCAAATCGGTTCATACCTTGTAATCATTTCACCTGTTAATTTAGCTTTTCAGAATGTTTCTAGAGATGTTGTGAATCATTATTTGATCTATCATCCATTTGTCTCTGTCCATAACATTAAAACTACCCAACTGTGTGGAATTTCCATATTTCAAAGTTAAGTATTACTACATGATGTCTTCTAGTAATCCAGTGGATGTTCGCGGGGTTAATGCCCGCTGGGACACGAAGAGAGCCTGGGTTTGGAATTTGCCATTATTCACAACACAGGTGATTGATAATACCACAGATAGGAGGGGGCTCTAGTCAAAGACACTGTGATAAAATAAGACCTCATTATCTTTCCAATGTTTGTTGCGAGACCAAAGCACGAGTGGATCAGTTACTTCAGTTTATTTTCCACATTCCAATCCATTCACAGGCAGACATATCAATGACCTCATCTGGTTGTTTGATACGTAATCCAGGGATGCCGACCTCAAGTTTCCTCTTAAGGCTTTCTCAATGTTTTAACATTGGAACTACAGTATTCTTAAGACATTCTTTAAAGAAAAAATAAACAAATGTAAATAGCTTTCTATAGCGCCTTTCTAGTCTTCCGACCACTCAAAGCGCTTTAACGCTACATGTCATTCACCCATTCACACCCTGATAGCAGGGGCTACCATGCAAGGTGGGCACCTGCCCATCAGGATTAACTAACAGCCAACGGGAATAATTTATAGTTAAGTGCCTTGCCCAAGGACACATCGACATGGACTGGAGGAGCTGGGGATCAAACAGCCGATCTTTCTGATCTTCTCTAACGCTGAGCCTCAGCTGCCCAATCTGAATTTGTTCTGGTGGAATAATCAAGAATCCAGCAATCCAGATGAAATATCTCAATTCAACAGAGCAGTCTGACTCTGGGCCTCCCCTCAGACAAAGCTTGGAAGAAGGCGCTCCCTAGGCTGCTCTATGTGATCTTCTTTTGATAACTGATGTAATGATATCATGAAACATATTTCTCACTTCTATTCACTGAGCCAGTGTCCTAGTGACTGGTGTTCCAGTTTACTTTTTAACTGTGAGTGTGTGTGTGTGTGTGTGTGTGTGTGTGTGTGTGTGTGTGTGTGTGTGTGTGTGTCTGCTACAGAGCAGTAAAGAAGGGAGAAGGGGGCTGTGTAGGTGAGGAGAGGAGGGAGAGTGCCTGACAGGAAACAACAAACTAAAAAAATGTCTATTTCCTGGCTACTGTAGCCTATAGTTATTTTGACTTGTAAAAAGATGTGCCTTTCCTTTGACCATTATCTCTGTGCCACTGTCTCTGCATCCCCTTCTTTTGGGACTGTCTCTCTACTCCAGGATGCTCTGATAAGAAGGATACTTCTCACTGAAAGCGTGAGGTAGAGTAATCGCAGGTGGTGAAGTTAAAAGTTGTGCCGATAAAAAGTGATGCAATGGTGAGATGTATGTTGTCGGGTATTTTGTGGTTTCAACTTCCAATGAAAATCAGCGCACAGCCGCTTCCTAAATCTTTGTCTCATCCAGAGACCAGGTTCCCAAACAGGTTTCTGTGTCTGTAAGTCGGCCTGAGGGGGAAACTACCATATCAGCAGAGCAGTAACTTTGGCCTAATGCACAGCAGACTATAAGGTCTTGAACGATTACGACTTTATTCTCATTAAATTACGACTTTATTCTCATAATATTCATAATATTTCTGAGCAGGAAAACACAAAAAGGTTGATCTACAGGAGAATAAATATTTGAAAGCAATACAAAAATGATCACTTGGCGCCTGAATCTTGTATTTCCTTTACATAAATAAAGACATTTTCACCATAAATTGATGCAGAAAAGATACAAATTGATACTAAAAAAAACTAATGAAATGTTTGACACTCAAATTTTCCCTCTTTTGGTTTCAAAGCGTCCTGTCGTGTATTAGCGTGCAGGAGAAGCTTTCTCCCAGAAAGGGTATATTTCAACCCAAACCATGATCTTTAACTAAACCAAGTCGGTTTGTTGCCTAAACCTCAGGAGATTTCTGGCAAAAAAGCCAGAAGGCAAACTTTTCCCATGTGCAGCACACCTAAAATACTCACAATCTTATGCGCACAATTTGGAAACAAAAAAATATATACTCGTAAACTTTATTTACCTCACTAGTGTTGTGGCAAAATGACGAGAAGAGACAGCGAATTCAAGTTGCAACCCAGTGGGAAGTGTTTTAATAAGCCCACGCCAACATACAACGAGTTCAGCAAATCCAAACAAATCCGATGTATTACTTTTCACAGATTACTCTTATAGTCTAAATTCACCCCCCTTTAAGTCAGTTTCCACCAATCAAACCAGTGGGTTGAACCACAAACAAAACACATTTGGTCTCTTCACTATGTCATGCTCTCATGACTTTGTTTGGATCAAGATAACCTTTTGGCAGAACACACAATTCGTGTGTTTGGACACACATTGGAGTGATAGATTACAATTTGTCTGGCGTGCCTTAATCTCTTCCTAAGAACGTTTTTATGAACCAAATGTGTTCGGTTCAATCCTAAATTATATGATGATTTTCTTCAACACTAGTCCGCCAACATCTGATTTTGAACAAATCTGAGGCAAGTAATTGGCCATCCAGTTGCTGAATCTTACGCTTATTGGATCTACAAGGCCTCATTTGTTCCGATTCGTCGTTCAGTGAGCCAACCCAGTAACGCAGCACAAACAGCAGAGAGAGTCAATGTGGCAAACATTGTGTAGAGTCAGGATGATTTCACATCTAACTTAGTGAATTGCTGGTTTTGCGGGAACCGGTTGAGCCTCTCGCGGACGACATCCAGGTGGGCGACAAAGTGACTCTTGTATCATCTTCTCCTTAAAATACTGCTGCTGGAACTGACATTTTCTCCAGGAGCAGAGTATGCTGCCTTGTGAGCAGGAAACAAAACCAGACCTGAACACTGCAACATTTGGGGAACCGGTTCGACTATAAAAAGATGACAAACTGACACAAAGAGAGGGAGGCACTCGAACTAAATACACAAGGAACTAATAATCAAACACAGGTGTGGCAAAAGCAGCTTCAGTCAGGGTCAAGTGTCAAGGGAAGTGAAAAATGGAGGGGTGGAGCAGAAGATCTATCTATCTATCTATCTATCTGTCTGTCTATCTAGCTATCTATCTATCTATCTATCTATCTATCTATCTATCTATCTGTCTGTCTGTCTATCTATCTGTCTATCTATCTATCTGTCTATCTGTCTGTCTATCTAGCTATCTATCTATCTATCTATCTATCTATCTGTCTGTCTATCTAGCTATCTATCTATCTATCTATCTATCTATCTGTCTGTCTGTCTATCTATCTGTCTATCTATCTATCTGTCTGTCTGTCTCAAGAAAGAAAGGTAGGTAAGAAGGACGGAAGGAAGGAATGACATTATCATGCAGCCTCCAGTAGATGGCGATCTCAGCCCATCATTTCCGTGAAAAAGAAGGCAGAGGAGGACAGCTGAGTTCCCCGGAAGTTAATTTAAATAAATGAAGTAGGGAAACAAAAACAAAAACTCTTTCCCCCTCTCCACCGTCTCTCTCTCTCTCACCTGAAGAGTCGCGTCCTGCTGCTCGACACCTGCAACACTGTTCAGCAAATACGCACGTAAGTTTCTTGTTTTTCTTTCAACTCTTTAAAGAGAAACTAGTTAAACCTGAAACTACAACCGCCAGTCCTCTGAGTCTCTGTCGACATGGTGAAATGTTCCAATATGTAACATTTCAAATGGGAATAATTGCTCCAGAAAATTATTAGGAAACAGTTTTTTTTAATCGATTGATCGATTATTTTGTTCATTTTGTTCATGTAAAAATATCAAACATTCCCACATTCCAGTGAGGATTTTGCTGCTTTTCTTGTAAGTAAACTGAATATCTTTGAGTTTTGCACTATCCGTCGAAAAAAAAAAGAAAGAAATGTAAAGAGCATATTTCCCTGTTTAATGACCTGTATCAATCATTGAGAGAATAATCGACAGATTTATCAGTCAGTTAGTTGCAGCCAGAATACAATATTCAGTCTCAGTTGATCTGGCTAATTTGTAAAAAGTCAGTCAAGTCTTGCCTCTGCATTTACATTAAGCCTCAATTGTGTGTTTAGTATTATAAAAGCAATTTAAAGATGTCAGCTTGGGCCTTGGGGGGGGGGGGGGACTTGGGAGGAATGTAATGGCCAATAGTTCATATTCTGTATCATTTGAGGACTAAATCTAAAAAAATAGGCGTTAAGGTTAGTGAGGCATCGTGTAAGGTGCAATGCTGACAGAGGACTCATCGCCCAAAAATGTGCCTCTATGTTGAGCAACGCATTCATTCCTCGATGCATTTCAATCCGCCCACAGAGAGACAGGTTTTTCCACGACTCAGTTTCATGCTCCATTCAGTATAAAGGTGAGGTCTGAAATTGTTCAGATGGTTTGAGATCATAAGTGTAGTGTTTGATCACTGTAGGACTACTGTAAACGTTTGATCAAATATGAGATTGAAAATGTATTCCTGACCCCGGAAAACAGCAGCTGATATCCCAATCTCTAATGGAGTATGCCCAGTTGTCGTTGAATTTAGGATGTTTACACGTCCATTTTATCTGACTGCTTTGTGGACCAATCATCCATTTATCCATCCAAGTATACATCCAAGTATCCATTTCATCTTAAAAATTATGATTCTAATCAGTCAGATTATGTAACGACGAGACAAACTCCATCTGCTGAAGAACACTGATGGTTAAAAGCTCCAGAAAAAGCAACTACGTCGACCTCGTCGGGAGATTGTTTTGTCAACTAAATTGTAAAATGTTCCACAGTACTGGAGGTACTAACTGAGAAATAAGAAAACAACAAGGCGGAGTTTTGTCACAACTATCTCATAGTATCACATATCAGTATTTTTGTAAACATGTCATTTCATTTCAAACCATTATATCATTATACATCTCCACAGTGTTAATGCAAGTTATTTATCATATAACTCTGACAGTCTGGTTTTTAGAAATAATGTTCCTGTATGTCGTCGGACTGGTAGCTCCCTGGCTGGTCTACCGCTGGTACAAGGAAAGGAAACGAGTGCCCAACAAAGAAGATAAATATGTCTACATCACTGGCTGTGACACTGGGTTTGGTAATCTCCTCGCGAGACACATGGACGCGCTGGGCTTCAATGTAATTGCGGGTTGTTACACTGAGAAGGGCGAGGATGAGCTGAAGAAGTTCGCCTCCGACAGACTCGAGACCTTTCACCTGGATGTCACCGACTCGGAGAGTGTCAGCAAAGCAGCTGCTTTCATCAAGACTCTGGTTGGACAGAAGGGTGAGTGGCTTTGAGGTACTCGTTTTCTTTACTGTCCCATTTAATGTCTGTTTATTATCTCACAGGTATTCTGTTAATCTCAGAGTTAACATTTGTAGGATTTCAGGTGAATCAAGGATATAACACATATTTTCCTCTTACCTGTTTATAACAAATGTTTGTACGAGACGGATTACACCATTGACAACATCATTATGTCTCTGACTCATGCCTGCCATATTGATTATACATTTTAATCTAAATATATTACGGATAATGGCCTTTTGACTACCGTCAATGGCGTTTCACAACTCAATAATAGCTTTTGTTCTTGACAGACTTTGACTCCTCTGTCCCGGTTTAAACCCACTCTTTAAAACGTAATGTTGATTTTTACCTTCATTATCAGACACAGACAGCAGTCTGTAACCTTTGGGCTGAGATCTTGAGTTTTCAGAATGAATTTGAGGTAAAAGGGGGATGAAGTTTCACAGGGGTCATGTGGAACTTCTTGTCTTCTATGATGGTGAAATTAATATTTTAGAGTAATCCACAGAGCTCACAACAAGGTCTGTGGATTGTTATGCCTAACAGGGTCATGATTTCTGCTGTTAAGTTTTTCAAATGTATTTTTTGGGGCTTTGAGCACCACAAGTCGAGTGCCATATAGTCCCAATATATTAGAGAGAAGGCAGACATCTCTATGGCCAATATCTCCAAAAAATACTCTCACCAATTCAATCTAGATTAATAAATAGCACTACAGGTAAGAGGAACAAATATGTATTTATGATTTTAGGGTGAACTGTCCCTTTTTTAACACTCATCTCTTTGTGTTTATTGTATTTTTGTGCTGCTCCAGGCCTGTGGGCCGTCGTGAACAATGCTGGAGTCGCTCTGCCGTCCGGTCCCACTGACTGGCTCACCATAGACGACTACAAGGACATGCTCGCTGTCAACCTATGCGGCGTAATCGACGTGACGCTGAGCGTCCTCCCTCTCATCAAGAAGGCCAGAGGCAGAGTGGTGAACGTCGCCAGTGTGTTCGGGCGAGTCAGCCCGTTCGGCGGGCCGTACTGCGTGTCCAAGTTTGGAGTAGAGTCCTTCAATGACAGTCTGCGGTGAGAGAAGATGCCACCTTTTCATGCTGTAGCCACATTGTTGTTCTCACAAGTGTCTTTGCAACTTACAGCAACTTGCCCTCCTTTCTGTTTCAGTATAAACATGGCAGCATTTGGAGTCAAGGTTGCATGCATCGAGCCAGGCTTCTTCAGAACAAATGTGACTGATGTAGACTTGATGCAAAATAGCCTGAGGAAGCTCTGGGACAGATTACCTCAGAGTCAGAAGGATGAATATGGACCTGGTTACTTGAAAGCATGTGAGTTACTCCACCTTGGTAATAAATCATATTTTTTAAATTATTTATATAGGTCAAGATATCACTGAACAATTCGCATAGATGCGAGGAGATGATTTTGTCGAATGCTGCCCAATAGTGATCTGTGATCTTCTTCATGACATAAATCTCCTTAACTTCTCTCCACTTTTTAAGTATTTGGAGGCCTTTTGATTATTTACTTTTGCCATTCGAGGCAAAATGCTTAATAGATATAAATTATTGTGTTGTACATTTTAAGGGAGGATACCAAGTAGGGCGGTCCTCGACCAAAGAAATTCTTAGTCGACAAACACTGTCAAAGACGGATATTCAGTTCTATAATGAATAAGCAATTTAATTTTAAGCTTCTGAGTAGTAGTTTATAATAGATAGGTATATTTAGTGCCAAATTACACAGCTCTCTTTAAGAAAGGAACTAATTAGAAATAACAGACCTGTAAAATAAAGTGTTTTCCTGTATATAAACATAATATGTCTGAACTGGTTCTCTTTCAGCGATTGAAATGCTGAATCAAAGGTTCAGCATGTTGACAGACAGTAATCTGATGAAGGTGGTCTGCTGCATGGAGCACGCCGTCTCTGCCGTGCATCCTCGTACTCGCTACTCTGCTGGATGGGACGCAAAGTTCTTCTGGTTGCCTGTGTCCTACATGCCAACTTGGGTCATGGATAGACTTTTTCGTAGAAATCTCCCAGAATTAATGCCAATAGTATCTGCAATGTAGCTTCTGTCAAATCAGCTGTGGGAAGAAAATAAATTGGGCTAATTTGCATCACACCTACGTGGCTTTCATTTTTTTTTTACTGTAATAAATGTTTGTGCTTGAAGGAATACACCATTGACAACATCATATAAACATTTTATGTATAATAAGCTTGTTTAGCTCTTATGTCTCTGACTCCAGACATTATCATGTGTGTCGTATTGATTATAAGATCTCATTTAAATATATTCCACATAAAGGCCTTTGACCACAGTCAATGGCCTTTTCTTAAGTTATAAGATTATCTTAATCGGCGTCACGACTCAAACCAACTTCAAGCTTTTCTTCTTGATGGACTTTGACTCCTCTGCCTCTGTTTAAACCCGCTCCTCAAATACATAATGTTGATTTCATTGCGGCATCAAATACAGGGAGCAGTCCGTCACCTTTGGGCTGAGATGTTGTGTTGTCGGAGTGAATTTGAGGTAAAAGGGGAATGCAGTTATCAAAACCAGGTTGTCTCTTACACAACCCAGCGTGTGTGAAATGTTTATCCATGCTGTTCTATCCACTATGGACCTTGACACTGCAGACGCCCAGAGAACAATCGTCACACTCTGACACAACTTGAATGAGAACGGATCTTCGCGTTCAGTTATTCTTCGATGAAGAACTAGCCATGGTAGGTTTGCATTATTATTTTACACAATTTGAATCTGATAATTGGGTTTGATGCTAATTAGGAGCAAACAAACAGAATCGGGATACAAACTGTATTTTTGTTTATTTGTGTGACTTAAAATGTTTTTTTACACAAACCAGCTTATTGAGACAAGATACCATCTGGTGGTTGAGTGAAAAATGTATTGCGTTAAAGGATCAGTTCACCAAAATAAACTAATCTTACCTCTTGTGGTGTTTAGCTATATGCAGATAGGCTTGGTTTAATCTGACTTGGTACAATAGAGGTGAATGGAGTTTTGTTTGTGGAAATACAAAGCTACGCAAACAAAATTCTGTTCATCTCTTATGTGATAATATATCATAGTGGTAGAGGAAGTATTCATCAAATCCTTTACTGAAGTCAAAGTTGTAACCGCAATGCAAAATGCCTTTGTTTTTACTTATTTGTAAAATAATCCACACTGACATTGTGGATAGTCTCTTTTCTCTCATGTAGGCATAGAAAATATAGATACTAGTATCCTGTCTAGTGTATCGGTCCATTACTTCCATGGTCAGATTAACCCACTAGATGGCGCTAGAGCAGACATGAGCTGTGGTTACAAAACATTTATTTAGGACAGTGAATATTTTGATCTCTGAGTTTGAAAGCATTTTCTTATGTGAAAGTGTGTGTGTTCAAGGTAAAATGGGGGGGGGGGTTGAATTGCTCTTTAATGTTTTATGTCTACCTTAGTGATGCATATCCCCCTTAAAATACACATCTCCACTTTCTCCCCTCAGGTGTCGACTGACAATCTGACGACATATTTATTAGAGGTAAATTGATTTATCTCTGTTCACACTTTGTGTATGAATGCTCACTTCAATTTTCACCATTTATAATAACCTTTTAAGGGGAATGTGTAGGATATTTGGAAGGAGAAATGAGGCATTAAATCAAAGCTGTGGATTTTGTGTTTTAGGTAATCCAGTGCCACCTGGCTGTAACCTGTGCTTTACTGATGATCATTCTCGTGGTCATCCGCTGGTTCATCAGAGATTCCCACAAAGTGGATGGCTTCAACCAGAAGCACGTGTTCATCACCGGCTGTGACAGCGGCTTCGGGAATCTGCTGGCCAGGCAGCTGGATGGAAAAGGCCTCCGCGTCGTGGCTGCGTGTCTCACAGAGAAAGGCGCAGCAGATTTGGCAGCGTTGGCCTCCCCCAGACTGAAGACCCTCCTGCTGAATGTTACAGACAGCGCGAGCATCGGGAGGGCGGTGGAGTTTGTGAGCAAAGAGGTCGGAGAGCGAGGTGAGCCGGGCGGACGGCAGCGGGGGGTTCACACAGATAGGGTGCCAGTCAGAGGGAGGCACTGCGAGAGATAAAGGCAACCTGGACCATCCCATCATCAACCCATCCTCCTCCTACTAGATAGGGAGAAAATACTTACCTCATAGTCTTTTTTTTAAAGCCAGGAACACAGTAATGCTTCTCCAAACATTCATTTGAACTACAGTTTTATAAAAAAAATTATTAAAAAAAGGTGAGTGTCAACTTTTTAGAAGCTTTTTAGACTTTATTGTAATTAGTGAACATGTCTGGTCAGTCTCTGTAGTAGTGGACATAACTCCTAAACACAGCATACAGTATGTGTACTACTCTCCATAGTACTGTATGTTATATATCCTGCCGTTTCAACACCGATTAGTGCCATCCACCATAATTTCCTCTTTATAGAAAACGGTATAACTTTTCAGAATCAGATTTTACAAAAAAGTAAGTCTGCTGGTGAAGTTCAAGCCTCTATTCTCTGCAGGTCTCTGGGGTCTGGTGAACAACGCTGGCAGGTCCGTACCCATCGGTCCAACCGAATGGATGAAGTTGGAGGATTTCACAAAGGTTCTGGATGTAAATTTGATTGGAGTTATTGAGGTGACGCTCCAGTTTCTACCTCTGCTGAAAAAGGCCCAGGGCAGGGTGGTAAATGTGGCCAGTGTTCTGGGCAGACTGTCTCTCACTGGTGGAGGATACTGCCTGTCCAAATGGGGAGTGGAAGCCTTCTCCGACAGCCTCAGGTAGTGGGAAGACGACAGATTTATCACACATTCTCTTAGAATAGGAAATACCGTAAGGGTGTTATTAGAAACAAAACAAACCTGCGTGTTCAGCATGCAATCATTCCTTCATTCGTTCACATGCTCATCTCATTGAAAAGCTTTCCAGCTGCACAAAGGAAACGCGTTGTTTTGCTTCTTCTGCCCAGGAGGGACATGCATCACTTCGGCATCAAAGCGAGCATTATCGAGCCTGGCTTCTTCAAAACCGGTGTTACCAGACTGGATCTTATTGAAGCTGACCTGAGGAGGCTGTGGACCCGCCTCCCTCAAGAGGTCAAAGACTCCTATGGAAAGACATACTTTGATGACTGTGAGTGGAAGTGAAGTTGATGACATTCCGCAACAAATAGTTTAAAATGAAAAAGGATGAACGACTCCTCTGCTTTGTTTTTCTCTGTCAGATGTGAAAGCTCAGGGCTTCTCCATGGGCATCTTCTGCAGTGCAGATCTCTCCAAGGTGACCAGGTGTATGGAGCACGCGCTGACAGCTCGCTTCCCACGCACACGTTATGGTGCAGGCTGGGATGCCAAGTTCTTTTGGATTCCTCTGTCGTACCTCCCTTCATTTGTGTCAGACTTTGTTACCAACATGTTTCTTCCTTTGCCGAAGGACCAAAGGAATGTCTAACAGGCAGCTAAACTTAACAGTATGACAGATAGATTTCTGAAAGTGATGAAATAAAATATATTGTGACAAGATTTTCAAAAGAAAAAAGATTCAAGACAAGTGTTACAAAATAGGAAATTTATTAATGTCATGTCTCAGCAGCAGCAATTTGAACCATATGGGCAAGTTGTGAATGATCACACACAGTTTTTATTGGGCTCATTATGATACAAATAAATCATTCTGTAAAGTTATAAAATGACCGTCTACCCCTGCATCCACAGGTCTCGTGTTGCTCCAAACTATTTTGGCCATTGTTCCAATAACATTACTAAAAAAATGATCATTTTGATTCAAATTCATCAGAAGTCAGGGAACATAATGAGTCTGATTAAGTACAATAAGTATGCCTCACACACATTGTTTTTACTGGAGCACATATCTTTGAAAAATGTAATGGCATAACTTAAAATCCAATTATTTTTGTCTTGCTTTTTGCAGCCCTGAAATGAGGTATATAAACATGAAAGATGAAATAAATACATCTTCAGTTTTGTTCAGTGGCAAAACAAATATCACTGCTAGTTCTCTGACAACCTTCAATCATATAAGTACTGTACATTCAGAATGCAGCTCACTTTTGATCTGTGTTATTGTGTTTATGTTGAACTATAGGATCTATTTCAAAGATATTTTCTGACAAAATTTTACTGTTCAAATTTACAAATATACAATTTATTTATCAACATTTCTATCAGCAGCTTCAGTGCAAAGATATACATATTGTACATCAGAATAAAGAAAACATTTACACAAGAATTGGCATAAGAAATGTCAGAAGGCATAGTCACATGAGACTTTTATCTTCATTCTATAGAAATGTATTTCTCTTTCCTAAAACAATTTGCGTTTTTTGTACACAGGCTGCATAAAAAAATAAATTCTGTGCAAAGTGTGTTTCTTTTTTTTTCCGATTCCCGCCTGTGAGAGAGGGGTTATACGTCGCTGTCCTCTTTCACGAGGTTGGCTGTGTCTTTGAAAGTGTCCTCGGTTGGCGAAAAGGTGCTCGGACGACTCGTCTTCTGAGGTTTGGCGGGTGGGACAAACGGAGAGGGCTCGGGGGCAGAAGAGTCCCCAGTGCGTCCTACAGGCTTTTCATCCTTCATCTGTAAAACAATTCAGAGGGTAAACAAGCTGAAAGAACACCTGCACTTTCTGTTTTGTAACTTTATGTCTTAAAAACGTTCTTCATTGAGACTACTGTGTCCAAACTTACCTCTGAATATGAAGGGTTTTCAAATGTGGTGCTTGGCTTTAATTTTTGCTTGAATAAGCTCCACTTTGACTCCTGCAAACAGACACAAACATTGAGGTGATATCACACCTAATATTAGCAATAATAATATTTTAGCTTACATGGTTTTATATGCACATATACTGTATTTGAGAGAGTCACCTGCACAGGTTTGGTGCTGACAGAAGATGTGTTCACAATGCCCACACTCGGATCTCTGCGATACGCCGGGTTTACAAACTTGTTCTCCAACTGTTCACCACTCACATTTACAGTCACCTGTTAAGATTTAGGTTGTCATGTCAGTTTCCTCAGTCGTGATGATTGATCCAATTGGTTTAACTAATGACATTTTCTTTCATTTTGAATGGTTAATAAAATAATCAGGAGGCAGGCACACACACACACACACACACACCCATAAATTCTCTGCAGGTGCTGGATAACAATTATACGCAAAAAAAGACCTGAAAATACCTGCATTGTTGCACATTTTTCTGTTATTGTACATGGACATGACAATGTTTTTCTCCAAGGACCTAAAGAAGCTGTCATGGCCATGTAGAATAAAATAAAAAATGTTCATAATTCGACAATGACAAGGATCTACTGGCCAGAAAACACATCCATACATATTATTCCTATCACTTAATGTACATCTGTAAAATTAAAATTCTGATCTTGAAAACAAAAATACCCATAGCATTATAAATCAAAGCCCTCATTTTCTTAGCTTCAGCAGAAATCCACCATCACAGTTGCCACTTTGAGATGTTCTGCTTACAAACAATATAACCTCTGTGTGATTACACTACAATTAAATACAAAATGAAGTGCATTTTGTTGTATATTGTCCTTAATATCATGATTTTAGAAAGATGTTATTATGGACCATGAGTCAACTGCTGGAAGACTTAGTGTGGTGTTAATGTCATGTGACTCCATGTGGGAAATTAAACAAATCATTCAGTCAATCACTGTTGTACCTGTGTGGCATAAATGACAGCAGGATCACCCGACACTCCAGGAGCTGTTGCGTATAACGGGTTCTCAAATGTGATTGGCGGCCTCCCAGCTTCCATGGCAAAGTTATCGTCCTATGAGGATATTATATTGATAAGATTGCTTTTTACATTCACTAAAACACACCATGAACTGTTTTTAAACCGCTGCTTACACAAGCAGTTCTAGAGGGAGTGCTACAATTAAAGTTGTCAATAAATACCACATGAAGCATTAAGTTGTTAATAAAAGTGCTGATAGTACTACACACTTTCAGGGACTTGGGGAAATATTAACTGCTAATAAGCACCCTTCCAAGACTTACCATCTGCATGGCTGTGTCAATGAATGACACTCCAATGTGTGATGGTCCAAGGTCAACATTATCACCAGAGCGAAACGTGACACCATTCCCTGTGTCACCGGACTTAACCAGGCTGCTGAGGCTGGACAAAAGCAAAACACTTCAATTTGAACTTTGATCTTAATTCTGCGTGCATCAACTTTAGCAGAGTTGTTATTCAGAAGAGAAAAACAGAGCGAGAAAAAAACAGCCACCTTACCTGGGTAGTTTGGGCATGGAGGGGATGAAAGATCCTGTTCGTTTGTAGTTGAGGAAAACCCCGACGGCCAAACCTCCAGTGATGAGGATGATGATAACCGCCAGAAGAACAGCCACGGCTAAAGAAAAGGTATGCATGTTAGACCCCTGCAATAAGGCGTTGATCATAAAAATGCCTACTGTAATAACATTTTGTCGACTAGTCCTTTACAGTTCATGTTCTTTGGCTGACCCATTTGTTTGCTAAACCATTAGAAAAGTTGAACAGTGATCAATTATAGTATTACTTGGCTATTTATTAAGCAAATGTATGCGTTTGTTCAGTAAACATCTTCATCAAATGCTGAGGCAGACTGTTTTTGTTGGCCTGAGTAGCTTTGTGTGAATTCATCACATTTGGCCTTGATCTGCTCCAGTGAAGATTATGAATTAGTCACTGTGCAGCAGCTCCCACATGTCAACCACTGCATGTGTGAAGGACTCCCACAGGTTTTGGTTGGAAGAATTTGTTTGGAGAACTCTTTAAGTTAAAGGAGAAAAGAATTAACTGCCATGAGAATAAATAAATAAAAGCTTATATGGGCGAATTACAGTACCTGTTCCTGCTGGGGCACCCCTTGACTTCCCCATCTCACAATAGCTGCCCACATAACCGTATGGACATCTGCAGAAAGGCATGATAAACAGAATATTCCTACTTGGGAAAACAACACCTTGAAGCATATTTCAAAGAAGTGGAATAGCACAAATATCAGGCATTTCTGGATAAGACTGATGGAGAATTGATCAATCACTGGTGTGAATGGCACCAACAGCTAAACTCACTTGCACTTGGGCAGATCGCCTTCATCAGTATAGCAGGTTCCACCATTCATGCATCTACATGCAGCGGGCATTGCAACGGGTGCCTCAATGGCTGCAGGAGCAAAAGCCAGGCATACACAGAATCAACAATAACAACAACAAAACAGTATCACACCACAGTATCACAGGAACACACAGGAGCAGGCAGGCACATGTGAAGAATGGATTTACGAATGCAAAATGAGATGCAACACAACAGCTAACACAAGAGTGCAGGCAGCAGATGCACTCAGGCGTTTGCTTACCTGCATCACATTCATTGGAGTCAAACTGCACCAGAGAGGACCCTTGAGGGCAGGCGCAGGTGTATCCACCAGGCCGGAGGAGACAGAGGTGACTGCACACATTCTTACAAGGGTTGGGTACTGAAGAGGTAAGAGCCCAAATAATAATACTGTTAGATATTGCTCAGAGCAGAGATTATATAATTGAATTGAATTTTCATTCAGATTTTAAGACATGTGTCGGCCCGGACACACATGGAAGAAAAACTTGTTTGTCTCAATAAAGCTTTCCTTGTTACATAAAGATACAATATATATATATATATATATATAGATATATATATATATATATAAAATTTCAAAACATAACTGTTGATTGCCATCCTCTCTTCTCTTCTAAAAAAAAAAGCAGTCAACATGTTTTTTTGTATTCATAATTCTTCATTTTTACAATGTGACGTACTGAGAACCTTTTTTTCCATGCGTCTTACAAGCCTTTTTGCAGGTCACTACATTCTCTGAGTGTTAAGGAAATAATCCAACAGGCGTTACTGTAAACATTCTCTCTTTATATGAATCCCTCTGACCTGACTGGTTGTGTCGTTGCTCCTGGTAAATGCGGACTTGAGTCAGCCAGGGGTTGATGGTTAGAACTTTGACTTTATGGCCTTTCCCAAACTTGTTAGTCTTCCACACTTCACCTTTCTCTTTTGTCGTCCAGTACACATGCCCCTCAAACACATCCAGACTGTAAGGGTGGCCAATGTCTGAAATGGAGAAAACACAATACTTTAAATCGCCTCCACTATTATTTAAATAAAATACTTGATAAAACACCATAAACTGTTTTGTTTTTCTGCAGACTGGCTGTCAGTGTTCTGACCTCCTGATATGACGATCTTCCGTTCTGTGCCATCGGGCTTCATGGACTCAATTATGTTTTCTTTGGAGTCACACCAGTAGATCCTGTTTCCATTCAGACAGTCCTGAGCCAGCCCAGTAGGCCAGCCCAGGTCCTCCTCCTTCACCAGCACCTCTCTGTGCTGACCGTCCATCCACGCTGATTCTATTCTGGGTTTCCTGCCCCAGTCTGTCCAGTACATCATCCTGTCAACACAGAAATAATCAGAGACAAAACATTATTTTTGGTCTGGATACAAATCCTCCTCAGACTGTACAAAGGAATTAGGGATGCAAACATAGTATTTTTCTTGCTTCATACCCAAGTGATGGATTGACAATAATAGCAGCTGGCTGGTCCAGGTCTGCGTGGATCAACCACTTCCTGTACCGCCCATCTAGCTTGGCCACTTCAATTCGATTGGTTCCTGAATCTGTCCAGTAAATGTGCCTGTAAGGTGACAAATACATACTGAGCAACTGTACAACAATTAGAGCAACCTCTGCAATGGTTAAGTCATAATGTTGGTGAATTACCTGCCAACCCAGTCCACGGCGATGCCGTCAGGATTAGCGATGTATCTCAGGTTCAGATTCTCCTCTTTCACTGGGTTGTTGCCGTAATCGTTAAATGTGGTCATGTAGGCGCGTTTGATGGAGCCGAACTGAGATCCCCGACCCAGAACTGTCCAGTACACAACACCTACAGATACACCAGGGGATAAAGGTTACCCAAACTTTTATATTCACTGCAGCCAACAACAAAAACATTAAAAGGTTTACAGTAGAAGTCTTACTGAGTCCTTGGCCCTCTGGATCCCATAGGTAGTCCAAGGCTTGGATGTGCTCAGCGTTGTCCACATAGTCTGAATACTGCTGAGAGGACAGGTTGAAACGACGGATGCGGACGTTGTCTGGCAACAGCAGCACCGGTGGGTTTCCTGTACAGAAATTAACACACTAATAAAAGAGAACATTTGTAAAGAATGTTCTTCTACGTGTGAATGCCGAGCTCTTACCCTGGGCAGCACACTCTGTCCCGTGCGGCTCACCAAAAGAGAGAAAACCTTCAGCGCAAAAACACTCGTAGCTGCCCTTTGTGTTCTTGC